TCTCATTATCCTACTCTGATTTGATTGGTAATAAATTAAGGCAGTTCCCCAGTCTGAGTCTGTTTTGCCCATGACAGCAATTGCTGAGTGATCACTCTGTCCTTATCTCAACCTTCAAACACTTTGTTATATTTTCTTTCACTTGTCCAGCTGAGGAGGGGAGTGATAGTGACGCTTTTGTGAGCGCCTGGCATCCACCCAGGGTCCACCTACCACACATCTATATTATGTTTGACTCTTGGAGTTTAAAAACAGGAATCCAAGTAAAAGGCCCTGCAAGTTCCCATTGAATTAAAACACAGGGTACATCCATACTGTCATATAGAAAAGAGAAAGAAGCCCAGCAGGCTCCTCTGGGCTCTCTGTGGTGTGCCTGTGGTGCAGAGGCATAGCTGTTCTTGCTGTGTGCAGTTTTCTTCTCTTCCAAGAGCCTGAGGTTAGCTTGAAATAAAAGGGGAAAGCTGTATTGCAGCTCCTCAGAGTTGTGTTTTCGCAGCATGAAAAAGAGGCTATATATATTTATTGTGTCCCAGTGAAAGGGGAAAGATGGAAGCTGAGTGTAAGAGTATATGGAAGTTCGTGAAAATATAAAGCCTGCTGGGGCCACTCATGTGTGTGATATTTTTCAGAGTGGGTCTAGAAGTCAGGTACCAGAGCAAGTAGTCCATGAGAAAGCTGAAATACATTTGAGAAAGTGAATTTGGATTTTGTCCTTACCCTCTTACTGTAGGGGACATTACCTGTTTTCTGGATAAATATTTTGCGTGCTTCCCGGTCTTCTTCTGAATGTAAGTGGTATTTCAGTTGGAACATAATTTTTTTGACTTTTGTAGAAGAATACATTATAATGAAGGAAATATGAGTTTACAGTAGAGAATTAAGGTAGCCATGGCAGCCTCTCTCTGTTTTGTAAGTAGTCATAAGACAGATAAAAGTTGATATTGTATTCTTCTCAGTTAGTTGCAATAGCCTTGGAAGTAGTAATAGGTTGCAGTAAGTTACTCCAAGGAATTCAGGAACAATCAAGAACATAAGAATGGCCATACAGGATCAGAGCAAATACTTAGGTAAGCCACTTTCCTATTTCTAAAAGTGCTCAGATTTTTAATGAGAGAGTGCAAGAAACATACAGGGACTTTTGGGGGGGATTTTGACAGTCAGAGATTTTATGAAGAGACGGTGTTAATATATTGTGTTTTATTGTTTAACTAATTTTACCAAAGATTTACAGTGAGAAATACTTGATTCCTTCCTAGCACACTATATAGCTGACTCCTGAGCATGAAACATGTTCCCCATGTTTCTTCTGTATAACAGACGAAGAGGTGGCAGGGTAGAAAGGGTACAAAAACCAATATGAACTGAATCTTTTTTTGATCCTATGATTTGCTTTGGTTCTTCAGTGAATATAGAGGCAAGTCCTTAAAATTCATCATTGCTGTTTGTCTCCAAGGTAGCCCTAGAGCAGAACAGATAGACATCAACCCTTAATTAAGGCCAGGAATAAAAGGTCTGCAAGGTATAAATTTAATGGTGAAAATATCCATGTTGTGGCATATTTCTGAATATGTAATGTTTGTCACCTTGTGGGGCAATAAATAGCAAAACATAACTTATATAATGTATTTTCTTTGTGTTTTTGGAATCCAAACTTGTCATCAAACATAAAGCCACTAACAGCTTAAGGTATATTTTTTACCTCAGACTCTAGGAATCCGTTAGAAATACCGAGTACACCAGATGGTGGGATATATCCCAGGTGACACAAAAATGCAACGATCATTAAGAGTTTACAGAAGAGTGTGTTGGAGGCACAGAGGAGATATGTTGGTCCTAACGAAGTAAAAAGATGATCCATGGATTTAGCGGGCAGTGTGTCCCGGCAGAAACGCATGAGTGTGCAAAGAAGGTGTCATGGCAAGATGAAACAAGAGACTCGACAGCTCAAGTGAAAGCAGGAGTAAATATGTTTGCAACCTCTCCAACTCCAAAGTTACAAAGGACATGAGGCAACAGAGATATGGGGGGGCATGCCTTGCATGGAGAAATACAGCAAGTTTTCACTGTATCAGCTTTCTCCATATTACTCCCCTCAGCCGAACCACTGGATTAAAGAGATAGTGGATTTTCGGGAGCTCCTGCAAGATAATGAAGGTTTATCGTTTCTTACCATGGCATCAGATAAGGCAGGCTTGCCTTGTCTTTATGCCTATTCTGGCGGTGATAAGAACAGAGATTACAGCCCACCTTCCCTGGGGTCTGAAAACTCCCTGTCACAGACTGATTACTTAGCCCTGCTGAAAACAGGTGTCTCTCACCAGGGAGATGAAGCCGGAATAAATAAGCCTGCAGTGACTGAAACCCACTGGATGTATAAGCATGTTACCACCTAATGTGGTTACTGGTATTCAGAAGGATACCTAGCATTATATTTTCTCTCCACGGTGTTTCCTTGCACAGGAAAATTAAATGAGGCAGAAGGTCTGCAGCAGGGATTTTTCCCTGATTTAAAGGCTTCGCTTCACATTTTGTACTAATCCAGCTATTTTTGGTACATAAAATATGGGTAAGAAAGGAAAGCAAGTAACATACGTATGTGCTCAGTCTTTTCAAAACTTCTTTTCAATAACTTTTAAGAATGACTTTCACAGCAGCAAGACCTTCAGATAAATATCATATAAAAGATAAAACATACCTATTTGATAGTCATAACTTTGCTCATCATATTTTCTCACTGTTGATAGTATTTATGCTCAAATAAGAGTTTGAAATCTCATGATTAATTTCCTTTTCTTTTCTGAATTAAGAAATAAGTCATAATACTGAAATTTCAAGACTGCAACCCTGCTTCTACTGTGAAACAGATTATTGTGCCACAATAACAAAAAAACCCTGCCATCATATAAATAGTACAACTTCTTGAAAGTCTTGAAGAACGTATAATTTAGTAAAATCCAATTTGGTAGGGATATTCTCTCTAACCTTACACTTGTGGGTCAGGTGAGAATACTTTATAGCACTGCAAACTATGTGCAGGCATTTTGTGTCTTTTGCAGAAAACTAGGCAAAATGAATGTTCTAAGGCGTGCTTAATGCTCTGTTCATAGAGGAGATAACCGTCACCGCAGTGTTTCAACTGCATGTGCTGTCATTAATAAGAACTTCAATAGTTGCATAATAAATATCTCTAGATAATATCTGAAAGTCTCAATGTGACCTGTAGTCCCAATAGTTCTGGTCTGCTAAACGCTAGAGATCACTGGCATCAGCTGCTTTTCCCAAGTGCCATTTTTTTCAACCATGGATACAGCAATACAGTCTTCCTCTACAGCTGCTTGAGGTACATTTACTTGTCAATCCTGATGTTTAATTCAGTGATCAGTTGATGGTTTGTTCTTACATTTTTCTTCATTGCAAATATCTCTAATTAGATTCTGATTCATCTGACATTCATTTTGCTTAGGTTAATATCATGATTTTGTAGAGGAAATTGCCTAGTGCTGTGATGTTTTGGTAACACAGATCTTCCTTTATCTCGCAGAGCTGAGGGTGAATGTTGGCAGTTTTACTCTTACCATTCATGTTGTCCTGCAGCTCATATATTCCTGAACAACGTCAATAACTTCATTGGAATTACTGCTGAGAATGAGGGTTTCAGGTTCTGATGGTGGCATGACTGCCCTCAGTTTTGCCAGGGCCTTTGCTCTAAATTTGTTGTAGCTTCTTACTCAATACTGTCTTCTTTTGCCTTTCTTATCGAAAGATAACTTGCTCAAGTTTGTAAATCTGATCCTATCAGGTCTGCAACAACAATAACAAAAGCGTATTTTGAAGACAGGAACATGCCTTGGAGTTTCTTTTATTTGCACAAAGTCACCCCTTTTCTGCAGAGACTGTCATAGTGCATCTCCTGAATTCACTAGAAATCATATACTGAAAGGCACTGAAAAAGGAAACGCTTACGCTGTGAGGGTGACCAAGCACCGGCACAAGTTGCCCAGAGAGGTTCTGGAGTCACTATCCTTGGAGATATTCAGAAGTCATCTAGACATGGTCCTGAGGAAACTGCCCTAGGTGGCCCTGCTAGAGCAGAAGGCTTGAACTAGATGACCTCCAGAGGTCCCTTCCTACATCAGCTGTTCTGTGAAGCATTTTTACACTACTAGAACTTTAACATTGGTCTTCTCTAAAACCATCCATTCTCTTTGTCTTTCCTGTGGGGCAGTTTGTACAGTTTCAGATGATAGCTGGGAGATACTTGCACAGCATCTGTTACAGGAAGGATTATGTCTGAAACAGATTGTGAGGTCTCTCTTACACAGCACACTAAGCTCTCGTGTTTTTGTTATCCATAAATGGCTTGTGCAATTCAAACAGTCTGGAGGATCCATTATTGTGCTCCAGCTCAGAAAAAGCAGCTCAAAAGTGTGATATTTTACAACTAATTAAGGCTGTTTCATTCTTACATTAGTTGTATAAGAACTTTACATACCTAGCGTTAACACAAACATCTCCTTCTGATGCATCACTGACTGATGTTTGGGGAATTTGGAAACCTTTGAGATCAGTACCCTGAAATCCAAAGGAGAAATCTTGTACCATGGGAATCTATTACATTACATGACTTCAGACCAGTCTCTCTCTTACTGTTTGCCTGTGTAGTCTTGCTGATCATCTCTAAATAGTTAAGGAAAATTATCTCTAGCCTTTGAATAGCATTGGTGTATTTCATGACATTCTGGTTAGTCTCCCTGCTTTCCTCAACTTGTTTCTTCTGTTCCGAGATTTTTGAGAGACGAGTGACAAGTTTGGGTATGTTTGTTTGCTGGCTGAGCTTCGAAATGGACAAAAGAGCTCCTGGAAAAGGTTTGACTGATGGAATAAATAGAGAGAACACTACTGAGATAAATGGGTAGCTCCACTGAATATTGCTAGCTATCTTCTTTTTGTAGTGAATACTGAAATACTGGCAATGGGACTAGTGGAGAGCAGCAGGAACCATGAAGGTAAAGGGAGATAATTGCTGCATCTGTGGTTTACAGGGACAAGGCTAGATAAACTTTTTCGAAACACTGCAGGCCAGCTGCTAAATCAGTGTTGTTTTTCAGTGAGAGGTCATTCAAGGGAGAAGAAGCAGAAGTTGGAGGATTGGATATAAGAAGACGAATGGAAGTCTCTAAGAGATGAATTAAGGTCTGTTAAAATCACACTGGAAATTTTTAGATTAAATAATGTGAACACTTATTTTATGAAAGAGTTCCAAATATATCACATAGGAAGAACTTTTGCACTTCTTTATTTATACCTTTAAGTTTCAAAATGGCCCTGAAGGGTATCATCCTTACCTCTAAATGCTTAGTTTCATTCAGATCATAATCCATCTGTCTCTCTCTTATGAACTATGGATTGCCAATTAGTGCCAAGCAAAAGTTGAGTTGGTTTTGATACAAATCAAAAATAGGTATTTCCACTGGAAAAGGAAAAAATGAGAGTTCGTCAGCACATGTGGGAGAATTCTGGCCACGCTTGTTCAGGAAAGATGAAACCAGGCTGAAGCAGGTGAGGTATACTGCTGTTTGAAAGATGACATTTTAGAATGATGTTTCAGAAAGGGTGGTGGGATCAGGCCAGTTGGGATACAGCCTAAACAATTCTTAAAGTACTAATACAGTGGAGTTGTTTTCAGTATCAGGGAACTGCCTTAGGTGACCCAGATAACTTCACTTAGTGCCCTGTAGCCTTTCACAATCAATCTTGCAGCATTTTACAGGAAGAGTCACCAATCAGTGGCTTTGCCAAAAGCCCTGCACTCAGCAAGAGATACCACCCTTATGGCAGGGAACTTCCACGTTTAGGACCTTGTTCTGCATAATGTGCATAGCGTTCCATGCTTCTCCTGACAACTTTCTAGTAAACCACACATGCAGTTGTGTATATACTTTCTCGATTCAGTGTGAGGATGCTACAAAATCACAGAAATCAATGGGAATTTGGGGGTTTCTACAAGAGAATGGCCAGATCTTGTAATACACGTAAAAGACCAGGATTTAAAGAAAGTATTGCTATTTTGTCTCCCACCTCTACCTATAGTTATGTTCTTCTGTGTTTGAGAATAACTTCAGACCTCTCATTATTTTTAATCAGAGTGTTCTTGTATGACTAAATGATCCCTTTTAGCCTACCTGTCTGTATTCTATGCATATGCCACTCCCTATTTAAGGACATTGGGGTCTGTTCATACATGATTAAGCTATTTCCCCGTCCTATGAATGTGCTGAAATCTCACACTGAGTACACTTTACACTTTAAATTCACTTTAAGTACTCTTTAGCATTCTTACTTCTTAAGTAGCAAAGTAGGATTGACGTATCAACTGCTAACACTAGTTTGGGCATTAACTCTTCCCAGTTCTTTAGTAAACCTATAATTCATTTTCCGTTGAATTTAGTACTCACTCTCCTCTTCACAGAAGCAGGAAAAGCTTTGAGAGACAACATAGAAAGCTTTGTAAAATATAGCCCCCTATCGGAAGTTATTCTTACAGTAAACTTTGTTGATTAATTACTTTAGGTAACATAAGGTCAAAATAATTTGTCATGCTACTATTCAGGTCTGTCTTTCTCTTTCTCTTAGTGGGAGAGGTTAGAAAAAAAAGAAATCAGTTGCCCTACTTTTTGTTGATAGCAGCTGGCAAGAGGTGCTCATGGGATGCTGTACATGTGTTCAGGCTACAGGATCAGATATTTGATACTAAAGTATGGTACTTAAAAGAAAAAAAAAAAATAAAATACTTAGTCCAAATGGCATTCCACATAGAACCATTGGTGGCTCACATCCAGCCAGTTACCTGGACCTGTAGGAATTAGGAGGTGCAAGCCATATCGGATACATCACATATATGAGATATGTCATTTGCCAGTCCACATCCTGCATTATGTTTTGAGAGTTTGAAAAATTTCAGCATACAGCAGGCAGAACTGCTGGAAGCATTAGATATTCTTTATTATACAGAAGAATGATCAAAGAGCAGCTTTGTATTTATCATTTTTCAACAATAGGCTCGGACATCTGCTTTCCGTGTTGCTGCCTTAGGTTCAGTTGGTTCAGTTACTTCAGTTTATCTTCCTAACAACAGTGTAAATTAACTTGCTTGTAACTTAATTTGCAGCAGAGGGGTGAGCTGGGCTGCTTGCAGGGATGAGACAGAGCTCTGAAGTGAGGAAAAAAAAGACAGCAGTAAAGAAGATGATGGAAGAGATCAGGTCAATTTGATACTCACTAAATATCTACCTCTCATCAAAGAAATAAAAGGAAAAGCTTTTTCACCATGTGGAAGTAGTGAGTGCATACTCTGTCTTCACCACCACCCTTGTTCTTGACCAAATAACTCATGAAGTAGATGGATATTGTTTTTATACTGTAAGCAGAGAAGGACTTTTGTCTGTTCTATGTTGCAACATGAAATAATGCAGTATCAGAGAGTTTTCTTGTCAAACTGCAATGAGGAAGTCAAAGGATCCATGGCTGTTTCTAGTGCACTTGAACTTGGTGTTTGGTAGCAAATGAATGAGCTGCAGTAGATTTAGATAAGTCATCAGGCTTCAGAGCTGGTGCTAAACTGTGTTTCCCTTGTGCATCTGGTGAATCTAAGCAGATCCACTCCCTTATTGTTCTATTTTTGCATAGCTGGGTGTTGAGAGAGGGACTAGAGAGAAGTTTTCTAGGGAACAAAAGGAGAAGTTATTCAGGCAGACATCTGAACTCGTCCCTGCTGTGGAAATAGTCTCTATGCTGTGGCTCAAATTAGGGGTAAGAGGCAGCATAGCATTTTTATTACTTTGCTGCCTTGGCTTAATACTTTTTTTTGCCTGAAGAGAGGGTGTTATAAGTTACCCTGCCTCTTTGGAACTACCGACTAAACACTAACAGAAGATACACCAGCCTATGGAAAACTTTGTTTTACAAGACCTGGCATGAGTCAGTTTGTGATTTGATGTTTTATGCCAAATCTCTTATCAAACAATTTGACCAGGTTAAACTCAGACCAATGAACTGTCCAACTTGTCCAGCTCATTGTGAACTCTGAACACGTGTCTTCCTTAGTCATAGGAGGAGAGCTGCATCTGTTTTAATTTCAGTCTTCTTTTGGAGCCTACATTAAAACCCAGGACTTTATAGGGTATTAAAAAGTCCTTGATGTATTTCCTGAGAAGAGAGGGTTGTTCTTTGGCCAGAATGAGCACACCATTCATCTGCCAGAGGGTCCAAACACTGTTTTATCTGTTTACCTGGGGATTTCACCTGGGATCTGTTTACAAAGATTTCAATTAATCTCATGCCTTGCAGTCTGGGTACTCAGCCTCTCTCCCTTCACAGGCTCACAGTCTGTCTGTTCTTGCTAGGACTGGGTTTGGTACAGATCCTGCAGAGTGTCACTAGCTTCTTCTTTTTCTATCATTTTTCTCCTTTTTTTCTCCTTTATTTGTCTCAGTTCCAGAATCATGAGAATCTAGGCATCACTGTTTTCAAGTGCTGGTATCACCAGTTACTTCCTTGTCTTATCTACTATGCCCTGGGAATTCATAGTAGTAAACATGTTCCTTTCTTGCTATCGTTATTTAGTGAGTAAGTGCTTTACTCCACCATTTCTTAAGCAGTGATTGAGGAAGCCTGTAAATGTACATTTACTGGATGTGTTCAAGTGTACAAATAAAAGAAAAAACCGTTACAGTTATGAGAATTTAGGGTTTCAAGATACAAAGGGATATAATGGTGTGGCAAATAAAAGCTTTCATTTGGAAAGCTGCTGCATATGTACCTTGATGTAATTACAAAGAAGACAAATTTTAATTTGCTTTTTCTTTACTTTGACATGTATAAGAAGATAGAATTCGTTAAATATCTTTAACCTCTAACCATCTCTTATGCTGTCTTTTGCTGTGTGTGTGCTGGCATTTAAATGAAATAACCAAGGGAGTCTTAAATGCCCTTATAAGCATGTTCATTCCAGCTGTTTGCAGGATTGTATAGGTCAGCCAGCCAAGGGGCTTGACTTTAGTGTTTTGGGATCAGTTACAGCTTCATTGGAGGGTTGAAATTCAATCTTAAATCACTGTGCTGTAACAAGTTGGCGCTACGGGGTTTTATTACAGTAGTTGGCTTCTTCCCTATCATGGCTAGCCATAGACTGTAACTGCATTTTTATAGTGTCTGTTTGGTACAGATGTAGCAGTCAGCCTCGGGTATATCACACTGGCACCTGCAGCGTGCTGGGACTATCTGATGCCACCTTTTATATCGCTGTAGTCAGGCAACCCAGCAGAATAAATATTAACAGACTCCCTTCCATGCTAATGAGATTCTTAAATAATTTACCCCTTTCAGAGCCAGGTCCTGCAGCCTTGATGCAGTCACAGCTCCTTCTGACTTCCATGGGAGTCTTGTCTAAGCCAAAACTGGAGGCTTGGGCTCACTTTGGTGAAAGTACATGACACCTCCATATTAAATCCATCACTCAAAATCCTCCTGCGCATCACTGGTGTAGCTGTAAGGCTTTTGTAGTACACATAATTAGGAAAACATTTTTTCCTGTAAGAATTATCTTTGTTTTGAGTCTATCTGACAACGTTAAATAGTAATGTTAAGAAACATATGTATATTTCTTAAGATGTGGGGAAACAAGCCAGGGAAGAGATCCCTTTCAACGTCTTATAATTACATTTATAGATTTCTAAGATCTGGCATTTGCTAGCTCTTGTTATGCTATGAACCAAATTCTCAGATGAGATCAACTTTTTTTGCCAGCCATTTAGTGGTGTCTGGTTCTGATTCATTAATACAGTGTATTGGCTTTCAAAGTAATTGAATATGTACTGCTCACTACTTACCTGTCATTTTTCTTAAGCAGTTATTGAAGAACTGCTGGTAAAGTATTGATGAGTGACTTTTTCTTTTTGTTTTTTTTTTCTCAGAAAAAATACTCTTGAGTTATTTTGCTAAAATATGA